GCAAACCTCCCTAAATGCATATTTTAGGCTGGTCTGTACACATTGCATTTATAGAGGTTTGACTGTACTCCTTGTAACAAATCTGAGGAATATAAACAAATCCTTTCCTGTCATAAATCTGAAGATTTTGAATCAATCTCTCTTCCTTTAGATGAATCTGAAATTAGTAAAGCATTTCTAACATGTGCTAGTAAAAGTAATATTGTATATACCAAGTAAGATTTGTAGATTTGTAGATTTGTGAATTTGAATTATGAAACTATAATATATAAAATATTTGATGCATATTATATATAATTATTTGATACATATTTATAGATCTTTCGTATAGAATTATTTTAAAAAAAATAGACCATGTAATATGTGATCTTTATAATAAAAAATTAGTATATCAAGATGAAATTACATTAAATCTAAAAAAGCACCTTAAAATACATAAGAACAAAGTATCTGAATTAAAAGTATCAAATGTAAAGAAAGATAATATTTTTGTTATTGAAATATTAAATAGTTATAAAAGTATAAGTTTTAAATATATATGGCAAATTAAAAAAAATTTTTGTAATTTAAGATCTAATTGTATTCATTAGATCAACAATAATCCTCATGAACCTTTTAATAAAAGTAAATTTATTAACTGTATTAAACAATAGATTATTAAACATAATTGACCATTTCAAATAATTGAGAATAAGGAACTTAGATTGATATTTGAATATTTAGAGCCTCATGTGTAAAGTATAGTGCGATACTATTAATTACAATTTGATATCAAGAATAAAAATTAATTTTTTTTTTTTATAGTACCTTCAGCTGATTTAGTAAAAAGACATATATCATGTAATTTTGACATTGAATATGAGAAATTTCGTGAAAAATTACAAGATATTTCTGGCAGTATAGCAGTAACAACTAATATGTAGACAACTGATAATTAAGACAAGCTATTTTTGGCAATAACTATTCACTATCTAAATACATTATAGGAACTTAGAAGCATTTTGCTAGATTTTATTAGTATAAAAGATCTCACACAGGTGCCACAATTGTAGAAGCAATGGAAATGTGCCTTCAAAAGATAGGAATTATCAAAAAAGTGGTCACGATCATACATAACAATGCTTTGTCTAATAATAGGTTTTTGTAAGATTTTGCAAATTTCTTATTTCAAATAGGTATCTATTTCAATAGTACTCAACAATCAATATGATGTTTTGGCTATATTTTAAACCTTGCTATGCAGAGTATATTAAATATTGTAGGAAATAAGTTAGACAAAGTTAGTATTTTTATTTTTTAAATTTTTTTAATTTATTGTTATTAGGCTAGATTGAAAAAGTTTCAATTGATTTATTTACTTATTAATTTGTTCTTTTTATTTTATTTTTTTTTTAGTTGCGTTCATTAGTTAGAGGTGTTAGAAGATCATTAAAACGTCATAAGAGATTAAAACTGATATGTCAAATTCACGGTATAAGTTAATTGAAGCCGATTCTGAATGTTTGTATGAGATAGAATTTGACTTTTGAGATATGTAGTTGGGTGTTAATGTTATGAACAGTATTAAATACTATCTTTCTAACTGAAACTGATTTGCAACAATATATTCTTAATAAAGATAAATAGGAAAAAATTAAACTTTTAATTAAAACTTTAAGACTATTTAATGATGGTTAGTTAATAAAACAATGATATAATATATTATTTCATATTACAGTCCAGGAATATACCATAAATGGATAACGATGATCACACCTTTTATAGAAATAGATCATCGATCAATTGATTCTGGAAATTTCTAAAGCATG